TTCTTCTCGATGGGGCTCTGTGTAAGCTGAGGAGCTTCAGGAATTTTAAATAATATACAGCCTTAAGGCATCAGTGGGTCCAGCTTCTTCCTCTGCCCTGGAGTCCTGAAGCCATTCACCTAAATCTGCAGGAGGATGGAACAGAACAGAAGTGTCAGAAGGCACAGCTCTCCTGGGTCAGCTCAGGACCCCTTCAGAGGTGAATCATTCCCTCTTGGGATAACAATTCCCCTGAAGGTTTATTATATTTTAAAAAATAGAAATTAATAAATAGAAAATATGGCTTTCCTATACTTACCTCCTGTCAGCTTGAGCTGACTCTGAGATATGCATTCCCTCAGCTCTGGAGAATGTCGCTCTGGCACCTAAAAGAAGAAATTCAGACCACAGAATAAGCTTGTTTTTCTGGACAGGCCTCAGATAAAAATATGAAAAATCAGACAGAGAAAAGGAAAGAGAGAGATCTGAGAGTGAAAGAACAAAGCTGAGAAACAGAGGTAAGCTGCAAAATCAGTGAATCCACACCCATTTCTGTGTTGGAAAAGGCACTTGCCTCTGAAGTCTGAAAAGGAAAGATTTTCTTTGGAGAGCATAAGAGAGTCTCTCCGCGTAATATTGCCTCCAGCACAAAACCCTCCAGCTCTGGGTCCCTCAGTTCCTCAAAGCAAAATGCAAAGCAACTAGCCAAGGTGAGGAATAGATGCATCCCTCTAAGAAGAGCACAGGCGCTGTCACAAGTGAAGGAGGTGAATTTAGGGCATCAGCTCACAACCGGTTTCCTCTCTGCATCTGATACCATCACCGTGCTGAAAATAGGGTTTGAATCAGGAACCAGGGATCAAAACAAGAGTCATCACAGTACAACACCACAACCCTACAACCTTCCCACCCCAAACAGGATGATTACTAAACAGTTCAAGCCATTATTAAGGCCTTTCACCAATTCTGAAATGGCTGATGTGTATGGGCCAGGTATTTCGGTAGAGTCTCTGTTGGCATAAATTACTCCAATCCCTCCCTCTGAAGCTCTATCCCCTCTGCACACCTCATAGCCCTCTCTCTGGGGAGAGTGGATTATTTAAACAGAAGAAGTCTATATTTGCATCTTGCTGGCAAAACTGTGGTGATGTCAGATTTTTTTATTCTCAGAAGTATTCCCAAACGGGAGGAAAGTTATTCAGGAATTTGATCCTAAGAGAGTTACTCTGTCCCCAGGTTGTAATTGCTGTTTCAGGGGGAAGTAGCAAAGAGATTCGGGTTCTCCAGACCAGGACTCCTGGGAAATATGGGACAAAAAAATATTCATCTGCAGCCCGGACAGGTGGCGTTGTGCATAAAGCACCTTGACAGGGCCCTGACGGGGAAAAGGTATCAAATTTCCCGCTGAAGCCAGACTTTGAATGACACTTCGGGGACAAATCAAACCCTGAAGGCGGGCTTTATTGGCCCTCGCTCATGCACATGATCGGTTCCTGAAGGAGGAGTCTGTTCCCAAGGCTACGTAGTCGGGCAGAGGGGTAGGAGTAAGGAGCAGGTGGCTCCCGGCGGTGCTTGGAAAGTTGGATTCCCAGCTCACAGCGCGGCAAAAGTAGGGTCGAACGCGCAGTGATCAGTGTGCCCCTCCCTTTGACAGCCCTACAACCAGGAGCTAAACTTCAGTGCACCATCCAAAATTCAGGGGAAACAAACCCTCGGCATTGCCTGCCAGAGGTAGGGGCTGGCCCGCTCCCGGGTGAGTTTTCATGCTTTGTTTACACCTCAGACTGTTGGATATTGTAAAGCAAATTTACTCATAAACTCATTTGCCTCTTTCCTCTTAGGATAGCAGGGTGGTGCGTCAAAAAGCCCTTCCTCGAGCTGTTTTCCACTCGGGATACCAGTGCAGCAAGAATGGGGACCTGAGGTCTGTTTTTCAGCTGGTTAATTTTTACTTTTCTTTGCTCAGTCTGAAATAGGCCTCATAAAACCACTCTTCTAGTTTGGTGTGTTTTTTTAGCACCAGGTGAATTTATTCCCTCTCTTGTAAATTAAAATGGTGTGTTATCCTGGAGGTTATGTGTTTTTCTTCTAGTGAGGTATTTAAATGTATAAATATATCTATCTGTCTCCTGAGTTTGCTCAGACATAACCTCTCCAGATCCCTGAGGATTTTGTTGTGGGCCCAGTTCATACACCTACTCCAGAAAACTTGTGTCTGGGAAAAGGTGTTGGCTGTTCTTTAGAATAACCTGAAAAGAGGGTCACCTTTCTGTGTGTTCATTCCAGAAATCAAAATCCCAAATGGGATAACCAGACACGTAATTTCCTTTGCTGAAATGAAGCAACTGCCTCTTGACTCTGCACCTGCTCCCTCACCCTGAAAACACCAGCCAGGCAGTCACTTTTGGGAACCCAAAAATATGTAATCTCTAAAGAGATTGGTGTAAAAATAAAAATACTTCCGTTTTTATTTCTAAACCGGATTTTGGAGAAGACGCTTTTTAATCTTTTGCTTTTGCCCTCTGACCTGTTCTCCGTAGGTAGGAAGCCTCTTCACCCCAGTATCTGCCTTCCGTCAGCTCATCGTCACCCCCACAAAAATGTGCCACCTTGCCGGCCAAATATCACGAGGAGGATGACCCAGGCACTCCCCTGCCCCGGCGTGAGGGGATTTTTTATCTCCCGTCTCAAACGGCATCATTGAAACACCAGGAATCCCAAACCACAACATGGTGCCCACCGCATGAGGGAGGGGCGGCCATTTTGGGCGCTGAGGGGCTTGGCGCCACCGCTTTCCCCGTGTGCCACGCTGGGATGAAGCGGGCGGCTCCCGGAGGAGCGGGTGGCCGGCTCGGGATGGCCTCTTCCCCGGGGGGAGAAGGCGGGAGAGAGCGGAGAGGCCGTTCTCTTCTCCGCGAGAGTTGGCGGCGGCAGCAGCGCCCTGCGGAGGTGCGAACCCGCCGGTAGGAGCGGAGGTGTGGGGTGTCATGGCGGACTGAGGGGCGCGCCGGGGGTCCCGCTGAGCGCGCGGCGGGAAGGCGGGCGGGCCCAGGCGAGCTTCCTAACACATTCGTCTCAAAACTGCCACCGAATAATAGATGGTTTTTTTGTTTGGTTTTTTTTTGTTTGTTTGTTTGTTTTGTTTGTTTTTTCTACTTGTTTTCTTCTTCTTCTTTTTGTTTACTTTCTTGTCTTTTTCTCATCTATTGTATCTTTTTGTTTTCTCCCTCTTTTCCCCTCCTTTTACTTTTCTTCTATTTATTTATTTATTTATTTATTTATTTATTTTAATTCTTCTTTTTTCCCCGGGGTAAAAAGTTGACAGACTTGCCCTCCAGGGACAAGTTAGTAACAATTACGCTCCCCAAAAATCAAGCCATCCAAGTCTAAAAGTTTTTTGTAAAAAAAAAAAATGTCTTGTGTCTAAACACCCTAGGCAGGTGGCATTGCATAAACCTGCTTCTGTGCTCATCCTGACAAAACAAGGCAGAAGGCTTGAAAGGAGAAATAAGTGATACTTGTGAAAATTCAGAGATTTTACTACTTAGGGTTATTCCCCCCCCCCCCCGAAGGGTTAGTCTTAGTGATTTTTATATGCAGTTGTATGTCTAATATTCCAAAGCTTCTCTTAAAGAAGGGCCATTAATGAGTTTGAAAATTAATGGCTAGCTGAGAACAGGGATGGTGGGTTTTTTTTGATTTACTGATTCGCTCAGACTGATTATTCAGACTCAAGTGTCACCTCACTGCTAGGGAGTAGCACGCAATGTTTTTATTTTAATAATTGTTCCATCCAGATACTCATTTGCTCATGACTTTTGCTGCTTTTTCCTTGCATGCTGACAATTCTCTGGTTTATTTACTGCCTCAAAAATACTATTTTGGAAGAGTCTCTACGCCTTACTTTTCTAAGTGTGATTGGTAACTTAGTTGAATGCGTAGAATTTGTTGCAACATAAAAAGTTCCACCGTTAAAAGATTGAAAGTAATAATTTTGGTGATTAAATTGGCTTTTTTTTGTTTTCTGCCTGACTTCACTTAGAGCTTTGTCCTTCCTTGTTTTAGGAGTCCTAATTTGCCCTGCTATCCACAGGGTGTTATACATTAACCTCTTCAAAGTAACAGGATTGACAAGACGATACTTAATAGCAGAACATCGAAATTACTACATTGCCGGCTACTGAAAGAAGCTACTGTTTGGCGAGATGAAAGTTAGTAACCAATATTTTCTTTCTGGAAGAGGAGTGAGCAGCTGAGAAGTGAGCACGAGCAGGAGGGGGCAGCACTGGCTGGTAGAGCTGACAGTGCCTGCAGCTCGCAAATAGCACCCAAAGCCCGATGGAGAGAGATCATTGTCTGGTTTGTGATTGTAGTGGACAAAATGTTAGGAGTAGCCTTAATTTGGGAGAAGGGTTATGCTGCTCGTACTCTCTGCTCGCCGCCCTGTGCTTTTGGCTTCTCTGTGGTTTTGTTTATGTCAAGCGCTTCTTGCGTAAATTGTGAAATGAAGAAAAAAGGGGGGGGGGGGGTGAAACCAAACAGAAAACCCCACAAACCCAGGCAAAATAGAGGAGAGGCAAACCAGCCATTTTGACAATCGGGAGGCTGGGGCTGCTTTTCCTTCCATGGTTCTTACAGTTCCTAATTTCTCCATCTCAAACTTTCCTTAGAGAACAAGCAAGAACCCCCAAGTCAGTGCACCCACATCAGGTCAGCCACCTGGAATCCACAGTTTCTCAGCTCCATTCCCAATCAGAGGAAGTGAAGAGGATGTATGAAAACCAGGTGTGTATGGATTTGTGTGGTAGCATTAGTGCCAATGAAAGTGAGTGTCTGGGTATCTCAAATGCTGCACATACACCAGGGAAGTCTTTTGACAAGGGCTCTGCTGAGCTAAAAAAATAGACGTTTGGACTTGTTTCAAGTAGAACCTGATGGAAAACCAGACTAAATCCAACGTACTGCTTAAAATAGAATACATGAAGATAATTCATAATGAATATTTGTCTTTTTCCAGGTCGAAGACCTCGAGAAGTGGTTGCACCTAGCTCGCTGTGAGCCAACAGAAGCTCATGCAGAACAGGATCAATGTGGCCAAGAATCTGGAAATCTGAGGGACCAGATTCAGTCATTGGTAAAAACAAGTGATTGCAGTGAAAAAAAATCTTGCTTTCTAAAAGCCTGTCCTTACTGCTGGTGTTCACATTTGAGTCTTGGTTTTTTCCCCTTATAATTAAGTTTGAGCATTGTTTTTAACTAGAAATTTGAATTAGCTCTGAAAGGCCCAGAGGCTTTTTCCATTAGCAATGCAGGACATCCAGAATTAGGATTAACTTTGTCCTAAATTCAAAAATCACAGAATCCTATGCAAATCACATTAAAGATGCTGAGCAACTTTCATTTAACCTCACAGTTACTGCTTTGCTGGTTTGCATTTGGTGTTGAAACGGCATCATTTTCTTTCCTTATGTAGCTTATACTGATTTGGGGATATATACAAATGACATGAAAGGCTTCAGCATCGAGGTGTTACATGCTTCAAAATAATTACAGCAGCAATATATGCAGTTGAAATATACAAATTTGGAAGGAAAAGTGGAGGAGATGTCAGACTGGTTTAACCAACCCTCCTCCTCCTGCCAAGTGGAAACCCCTGCAGCAGTTCCTATTCCACTGTGTAACTGGGCCATTGAATGCTGCTAACGTTAAGAGAACAAAAGAAGCCTAAATTTGTTTAGCAGGGAGATGACTTTGATTTCTCAAAGATTAAACTTCATAAAAAAGAGATAGAACTAAGCCTGGAAAAAGAGCAGAACAAGCAATTTTGGGATCAGAACACAGAAAACAGCATCACCATGGGCCAGCTCAGGAGGCAGCTGGACAACAAAAACCAGCAGGTGCAGGGCATGGAAGAGGCAGTGAAGGAAATGAGGACAGAGCATCACAGGCAAATGTAGTGCCAGGTTGGTGATTTTGGCTATAAACCTCCAGAAGGACATTGTGGAAACTTCCAGTAAGTTTGGTGCTGCCAGACGTACCAAACAAGCTGTTGAAGGTGGTATTTTGGGTAGTGAGCATGTTTGCAAGAGTGATAATTAAAGGCCTCTATAGTTCTTTTTTTCGTGTGATATTTAATGAAAATATCATGAAGCTTGTGTTTATAACTCAGTGCCATGTCAGAATTCCTTCTGACAAAGATGATTCCTAGACGCTCACTTGTTTCTTCTGTAAGCAGGTTGCAAAGGGTGAGAAAGAAGCCAGAATATGGGAAGTGGAGGCCAGACTGAGCAAGCTGGAGCTGGAAAAAGTTCAGCTGGTTAACACATGCACAGAGAGGCTCCAGGCAGTTAGAGATGTGAAACGGGAAAAAGATCAGCTCGTGGATGAACTCCAGGCTGGTAGGAGCAACCTAGCTGGCCTTGCAGGTAGGGAGCCCCAGCTCAGCTCCCACAGCTGCTAATTTGGGCTGGTGTTAAAAATAAAAGAGCAGCTTGTTCCCTGAATCCAAATATGGCTGCTGGTACAGCAGGAGATTTCCTGCCAGCATGGGATGGTCGAGTTCCTTCAGGGAGCTGTGTCATGGCGTGGGATTCTGGCACAGGAGGGTGGGAATACAATCTTTATGGCCCATCTCAGTACCCTGAGCAAAACCACTTAGAACTGCCTGGCTCCAGAGAGGAAAAAAGATCTAGTAAATCACAGAATGGGAACTTGACCCCTTTTTGCCGGGTGTTATTTAAGAGCAGTAGTGGATCTCTCTGATCTTCTGTGGTCAAATTCTGTGGGGAACCTCTGTTTTTCCACAGGAGCTGCAGGGCCCAGGCTACTCATCAGCTGCTGTGGCGTGTTGTGCCTCTGTCCCACCTGCACCATGCTGTCCTGCCACCTTCCCTGCCCCTCAGGTGAGCACCTCCTCAGGATGGGAACCTGCACAGGAAACCAGCATGTTCCAAAGAGTGAAAATATCATGGAATTTCTAAATGGGAGAGCATCGGGTTCTTGATAAATTTAATCATCTGATTGATGTTTAAATCTTTCTCCACACTGGCCTTCACTGATTTTGACCAGTTTTATCCACATCCTTGTCCTTCGTTTTTGTACATCTACACTTAGATTTAAATTCTGGTGTTGTTCTGATTTTTCGTTACAGAAACATCAATTCAAATCTCTTATGAAAAAAAAATATTTTTTTGCCATTTTCTGTATAAGTTTTGTAAAAGTCTCCAGAAGGGACCTGATGTATCTCCAACAGGTGTTTTATTTATTTTTTACCTCAGAATCTGCAGGAGATTACAAGTTAGTACAGACATTTTTCAGTAGTATTTTTTAGTTTGCTTTCTGATGTGGTGGCAAACATTTACATCAAGGAACAAAAGATAGTTGCCTCTGTGAAATCCCTGCAGCGTCAGGCTCTCCCAGTCTCTTTTCTTTGAGTTAATCAATTTCTACTTCTCAGGGTAAAAGGAAAAAGGAGTGATTTTTAATGCATTACCACGGTGAGGACCTACCAGATTGTAGAAGCACTGGAATCAAAGTCTGCTTTAATCTTCTTGGTTCCTGCATCATTAGTTCCTGTACAAAAGGAAGCAACTCCAACACTTGAGACGGAGCAGGGTGATAGTCTGGTTCCTTAGCTGGAATGTGGGAAGGGTGGGTTTGGTCTGACCCAGTATCACTTGGATCCATTATGAAGCTGAGAGCTTGTTCTCTACATAAGCCCTGCTGAAACCAGTGTGTTCCCATTGGAAAGTACTTTTTTTTTTTTTTCCCCAATGAAAATAGGGTAGCAAAACGTTTGCAGCCAGTTCCATCCCCAGGTGGAGCAAAGGTCAGTGGGAGCAGCGCTTTGAACATGCAAAGCGCTGGGTAGTCTGAAAAATCCAGTTTTTACAGAAAGAAAGGGCTCTTTGAACCAGGCCTTTGCCTCAGGTGTTGATCAGTGAAATAAGGGTAATCTTGCAATTCATCTCTGTGGTGGCTGTGAAAATAAAGGGGTTTCTATCTGCAGACAGCTCAGCTGTTACAGGAATGGGTGCTTAGAAAATACCCTGCTCTGCTCCTCTCTCTGTCTTCAGCGCTGTGTCTGTGTCCTGTACAGCAATCCCTGGGGGCACAGGTTAAAAATGAGAAAACAAGAGTGAAGGGGGTAAAGCAAGAGTAAAACATGTGCCTCTGGATGAGTAGAGCTAAGACCTGACAGTCAGAGTGCCTGCGTAAATATTTTGTAACCGAATGGTTTCATTTCAGACGCCTTCCAAGGTCGACATTTTGAAGGAAGAACCACTGCAGGATCTAAACAGGATTCTTCAAGAATTAACAAGCTCAGACAGTGACGTTCCCCCTGTGGATCTCAGTGGCAACGGTGGGAGAAAATCACCTTTAGCAACCATGAGCAATGCAGTGTAAGAGTAATAGATTTGTTTCTGTTGTGTGCTGTGTACTTGTAATGCCCTCTAAAACTGGGATCTGGCTCCTCACATGCCTCAGGAGCACTGCAGGATGTCTTTTTGCAAGAAAGTTGGGTTTTACATATAGGCTTGAGATAATCTGAAAACTTCCAAAGCTTCTCTTGTTTGCCAGGTTCCTCAAGTGCTTCAGGTGGTAGGGAAGTAGAAGGTGACTACACCATTTGCCTCTAGCACTTGCTTTTTGGTGTTTTAGCTTTTATTTTGGTTTAGAACTCCTGTCATCTTGTCCTGCCTCATGTAAATATCCCCTCTCTCATTGCTGAAGCAGGCAGTTATTTTTTTTACCAAACACACGATGATGACAGTGGTACATGAAGTCGAAAAATCAATACAGCACATACAACATGTTTCGAATTCAGAACATGAGGATACTTCACAAAAAAAAATATGATTCGTGGATTTTGACCAGGATTAAATCTAAACTGCTGCTGAAGAGGCTGCTATTGCAAGCATGGGGAAAAGGATATTTTAGGACAGTGAGAAGTGCTTTCACTTAGCTGAGTAACCTGCTTCTTATAGTACTCATTTGAGATTCAGTTTCTAAGGCTTATTTTACACAGCCTCAGTCCTGAGCTTGTTTGTGTTGCTTTATTCATAATGCTAAAAGCTTCCTGGGAATTGCAAAACAAAGCTGTGGTGTTGCTTTCATCCCTCTGAGAAAGAGCTCTCTAACTTACATCGTTTGCTTTTCATTTCCATGTATAAGACCTGGAGATTCCATGTGAGAGCTCCACGTTCTCACTGTGGAGCCTGGCTGGCATGGCCAAAACTTAACATAATCCTTCCTTGTGCTTTCAGGAATCCTTCCTGCTCACACCCTGCAGGTCTTCAGTCCCGACATGTTTCCCCGCCCTTCACACCCCTGGGTAAGTTCTCACTGGCTGCATTTGTGCCATGTTGATGTCAAAGTGGAACATTACAGATTAGTACCAAAAAATATAGTTCAAATACAGTGTATTTTCTTGGGTCGTGTTACAAAGTTTCTATTGCACTTACTGCAAAATCTATATCTTGCTACAAAGCAGCTCCTGGAAGGCTGATAACTGCATACCCAGCATGGATAACTTCCATGTTAGTCTTGTGTAATTAGCATGGATAATATTGTCACGTTTTTGGAACCTCAGTTTAGGCTCCTGAGTTCTGCATTCGGGTATTTGGATGTGGATGTGCTTTGGAGAGGAATCAGCCCATTGCAGAAGCTGTTGATTTCCTTCCAGGTACTGGGTGGTCAGAGCCTTTTCAGCTGTGGTGACGTGGATTTAGTGACCTAAACAGAAATATAAGGATGTGGCTTTGAGCAGCAGGGTTTGAAGATACTAATCTTAGCCACCTTCTGGGTTCTTTTACCCTCAGATTACCGATTCTGTGGAAATTGCCTGCAGATACTGATATATTTCATTGCTCTCTATTAGAATTTAAGGCACTGTGCTTCGGAGACAGGCTGGCGTCCCTCTGTTTGTTGTGAGGAGTAACTACTACAAGTACTGTCTTTATATACCTGAGTATTAAAGGAAATCTCTTGGGTAGTTCCTGTCAGCTATCTGCAAGGAAAAGGAATGCTGGCTCTCCAGAATGTGCAGCCACAGCCCCCCAGTTAGGTACATCCAGTCCCATTTCCTGATCCAAGAGTTTGGGTGCCTGTGCCTTTCCTTCACTCAGTTCTCTGCAAGGAGGTTTATTCTGTGATAAATGAAGTATGACCAAAATGTAGCATCTAATTAAGGTATTAAGCAGGGAGGAGATAAATTCCACACACCACTAAATTTAAGGCCTAAGTAAATTGCTGTGTTTGGGAATAAATAAGACTGTAGGAATTCCCGACATCGATAATTGCATAGTTGTGGTGGTTACTGTAACACATTTAGTAAAGTTCTGAGTCTGACTGAAAATACTGGTGTAAATTTTATCTTCTGTGAACTCTGATTTAAATGGAATATTTAGATAATTGACAGTTGCATTATTATAATTATTAATTTTATTATTATTATTTATGATTTTTTTTTTCCCCTAGCTTCTCAGCCCGTGGAAAGTAGCAAACACACACCAAGGAGGCTACACAACAAGATGGAAAGTCTGGAAGACCTGGTGGAATTGTTACAGATAGAAAACCAAGGTGCCAGAATTTACCAAAAATGTTCCTATTTTGTTGAAAAAAGCCCCACTCTCCAGAAACTTTTCTTAGTACCTGCCAAAGCACTTTTACATCTTTTACTACCAGTCCCCACGTGTCCATTATCCTGCTTCTGGGAGATTAATCAGATTAACTCCACAATGCCCCTTAACTCTAATAAGCCTCAAGATCGTTGACAAGTCAGTTGTGGCAGCTGCTTGGTGGTGTCCTCGTGGGCTGTCATGTCCAGTTAAGGGAAATTTTTAACGAGCTGATGACGCAAGGTCCTCTTGACTCCAAAAACATAGTTCCGTGAGCTCCCGAGATGGCAGGATGCCAAGTCAGATGGCGCTTCTTCTCTGTGCACTGTTTATTATTGCATATTCCAGTGGCTTCCCCTTTGCCCTTTTAAGTCTTGTTGTGTAGATTTGGGAGGTTATCATTCCCCTGCATCATCGAGCGCATATATGTGTCAGGGACATACAAGTGACCTGATGCAGGGAAAACTAACCAAGTTATTTATTTAATTTTTTAAAATCAAATGTGAGCGTTTTTGTTCATTGCCACGCATTAATATCCTCAGTGGTTTTGTCTATATTCACGTAAAGAATTGCAGACTAAAGCTGCATTTGTAAGGGCTTGATGTGTACAGCAAAACATGTGGGAGGATATTTGGAAGCTTCAGGTGCTTGCACCTCAGGCCTCGATCTTTTGAACATAAGGTGCTGCTCAGCTAATCTGTTCTTGCTGCTATTTTCAGCCACGTCACCAGTGATCAGAACTCAGGAGGTGAAGACAAAGAAATCCAAGGAAAAGGAGAACAGGCTCTCCAAGTGAAGATGTTAGTGATTCCTTTCACGTAGGTACCTTGTGTTTAAAATGTGTTATATTTTTTAAAGATAAATAATCAGAGTTCTTCCAGTTTAAGTCTTATTTATAGTTTTTACTTTTAAGTGAGCAGGAAGTACAGAGGAGTAGAAATACATGCAAGTTAGAAAATACCCTGGCCTTGAACACTGCCAGTGCCTCACCTCCCTCACAGGGAAGGATTTCTACTGTATATCTACCCTAAATCCTCCCTCTTTCAGTTTGAATTTCATCCTATACCTTGATTTCTTTAAACAGAATGGACTCATCAAGTTTTAGTTGGAATCTTGTGCGGGGAGAAGAAATTAGTGAGTTGTTCTAAGCTGTCCTCTGTTATTGTTGACGGTATTTCAATCCAGGTGATTTTTTAAAATATATTTTCTAATTATTTTCCCCCTGTTTCTGATCATTTTTGCAACATGTTGCAAGCTTAGTCAAAATACAAATAAAGGCATCTTCCCTTTCCTAGGAATCGTTTGCAATGAAAATGAAAGGATCATTTTAGATGGCTCGTGTATCACAGTCTGGGCTTGCCATAGACATTGGACAAATCTACCCAAATTTTCCTTAGAAGAGGGAAAAGAAGAGGGTCAGGGTTAGGGTCAGGTGTAGAGATTAAGAGCCTCCAGCAGGTTGGGAAAGGTCACAAGTCTCAGTTGTGTTCAAGGAGCCAAGCTAAAAAGAGTTTCAGAAGCTGCAGCCCTGTGCCAAGGGCAGGGAGCAGGTGGGGACGTCAGAGAGCCAGAGCAAAGGAAGGGACATCTGCCAAGCAAAAAGGCAGCTTAACATCCTTTTGCTGGAACCCCATAGAGTTGGGAAAAGTCTGGGATTCCTCCCTGCCACCGGCAGCAGGCAAAGAATTGGCCTGGGGAGGCAGCAGGCTCGTAGGTTCTCAGAGCAGCTGCACATCCTGGACTCTGCAGCCCTAACAGCACTCTGTTATTCCATGTCACGCAGGTGGATGGCACAGGAGGGCACCCCGGATGACAGCCAGCCCCTAAGAGAGAAAACCTAATACCAGGCTAATCTGTGGAGAGACTCCAAACAGTAAGTTTAACTCCCAGAGAGAATGTGGGATGGGCACGTGCTTTGCCAAGCGAGCGAGGTGCCATGCGCGTTTCTGCAGGAGACTTGGAACTGCTTTATGCCCGGTCCCCTCAGGCTGTGCCTGCACAGCATCCAGCTGCAGCACTCAGCATCTGTACACCAGACTGCCTCACAGGCAGGAGCAGATTGCATTCCACCTAAAAGGAATCAAACTGTTTAATTTGTCACAAGTTTGCTGTCAGGGCTCTGTGGTTGCAGGCTTTGCGAAGCTGTGAGCGAGACAGTTTATTATTTGCTTGGAGATCTCCTGAGGCTGTTAGATCCTCACAGGAATGACAACAAGTTGTTTCTCACATGTAGCTGCATTAGTCTCACAGACAGGACATTGTATTAGACAGGTGTTAGCTGTTCCAGCATCGTTATTTTTATGCAGCAAGGCCACTTTGTTTAAGGCTACCTCAATGCTTGAGTGAATATGTTGTTCAATAGTGAGAAAACACCTCTGTGAACCTGGAGAAAATACTAATCAGCTCCTCCAGAAATACTGAAATCCAGACTTGTTCTTTCACCGTACCAGTACTATTTAATTTACATAGCATAGGCCCTGCTGGGCAAGCAGTGAGGTGAACGGCATAATAATTTAGGGGTGATTGCGAAAGTTCAGTGCAGGTCTCCGTAGAAACCTCACTTGATCATTCAGCAAGACGATACAATGGTGAGCACTAGGAGTTGTCTGGGGGATCAAAGCGCAGGGTGTTTAATTAAAAAAAATAAGCTGCTCTCAGTTTGAGAGAAGTCTCAGGGTTGGTCTCTGACATGTTCATCACTGCATTAGACAATCTATTCTAGTGTTGGTTAAGTGGCTTTCTGGTGAATAACTTAATCTAATAGCACAGTTAATCTCCTCAGACAAGCCTCGAATGTGTGTATGAATGCGCTCAAACGGCAGCAGTGCTTTTTGAGTTGTCAGTATCTCACTATTAGAAGAGCTTGCATTAATGGCAAAGAGATGTGTAATCACCTTGAAATTGCGTGTTTTGCTCTGACTTCAGTGATTTCAAAGATCAGCTTCTATTGCAGCTGTACCTCTGTGTATCAGGTATATTGTCACCTTCAGATTATTGTTAGAAAAGCCAAGTGTAGAGGATGCATTTGGGGTTGCTTTACTTGAGAAAATGAAAACTCAGTATTTGTGCTGAAAAGCCTGGTCTTAAATAATTACAAGTTTCAGTAAGTATATGCTGACAGTACTGTGGTATTGTTCTTCAGTAGGCTGAATATGCCACCTGACTCTGGTGCAGCCAGAGCCCTATTCCCTAGCCATCCCAGCATTCCAGGGTTTTTCTAAAGCCTGCTCCCACCCCTGACAAAGTAATTCATTAAGCCCAGACAGTCCTATCTGACCTTCGCTCTCCCCTCAGCAGGAGAGGAGCTGTCTGCCAAGCCTTTCATTTGAGCCGATATGCTTGCTGGACAGTAGGGGGTAGAGGATGAACTATTTTGGGGTTCAACCTTTGTTATTCCCAAGAGTGCTGGCTGCCTTTCAGCAGTTCCTTAGCACTTAGATTTTGGGTCAGGTAGCTCGCTTGGGTCAGAGTTACCAAAATGAGTCATGTCACTGGTCAGCTGGTACCGGGCTGTCAATCTGAAGGTGTTTATTGTTTACTTAATACAGTACATAAATGAAAACACTTAGGTTGCTATTACAGTGTTGGTAACCACACTTCCCAGCACGCTTCCCAAGCCCAAGCCATCGGCACCAAGGTGCATCCCATAAGCCCAGTCAAAGCAACACAAACTCAAGTCCGTGGTCCAGATTTACCTGGGCAGGCAGGCGCTCGGAATGCTGCTCATGCCTTCTAAGCCTACCTTGGATCTCTTCAGCACGTGTTTGCAGTTGATTTTTCAGGTTGCCAAATGTTTTCCTAAAGGGGATGGCAGAGATCTGCTGCTCACAGGTTGGTTCAGGCAGGTTCCACACAGGATTTCCAGAGCTCTGCACTTGAGAGGGTCTCCTACTGAAGAAGGGGAGCCCCCCGCTAAGGTTTAGGGGCTCGGTGACTCATCTAGGCAGGTTTGCCACTAGATCAGCAGCTTCCAACATCCCGTTAATGGTATCCCCACCACTGATGAACAATCTGATCTTCATGTTCAGTCACTAGGGTTCTGTTACTGCATTCTTCCCAGCGTCTGACCTTCCCGTTCTCCACCAAGATAAATTTCCACTCCAGTCTGGTGTCTGCGGGCAGACTGATGGACTCTGACCAGAAGCCGTCCTTGTCGCACTTGAGAGGAACGTAGCTGTGCCACTGGCCGAGACACTCGTGGTCCCCGGTGACACCGATGAGCTGAGCCTCGGAGTGTGTGATGTAGTGCACACGGAAAGCCACGTGGATGTTCTGGAACATGGGGGGCACGGCTGCAACCCTCTTTGCTTTCGAGTCCCCATCGCAGCAGTCTCCTTGTTCCCATTCCCTGCTGTCGGAGTCTTCCGTGCTGCCATCCTTGCCGGCCTCCCCCTCCACCAGGTGCTCAGAAACAACTTCCCACTCTTCATGGTCCAAGTCCCTGCTCTCGGCTGGCTGACTCGACTGCTCCTCGCTTCTGTCCTTACAGTCATCCTCAGAGGCTCCTGCCAAGTTCATCACGCACCATCCGTCACTTGCCTGTCCCACCTGGGCTCCCGGGCCCCCTGCCTGGCTGCCGGCCGTGTCATCTGCGTGCTCCCCGGCGTCGGTGGCATCCTGCTTCGGGATCTGCACCTCCACGGGTTCACCCCGAACTCCGCCGCTCTGGACGTGGTTGATCTCTTCCCTCGGAGCAGCCGCCAGATCCTCTCCTGGCTTCGGAGCGCCGGCCACGGCAGCCGCCACCTCCTCCCGCCGCACCGGCTCCGCGCTCGCCTCGGCATCCCCTGCAAGCGACATTCGGGGAGGAGGACGGGGATGGTTAAGCGGAGGAGCTGCAGCCCCCCCGAAGGCCTCGCCCCCGTCCCCTCCGCGGTTACCTGTGGCCGCCGGCTCTCCGCTGGCCCGCCGGGGCCCCTCTCCGCCCGCCGCCGCCGCCGCCACCTCTCCGCCCGCCGCCTCGTCCCTGCCGTCGCTGCCGCCGTACCAGAACCAGGCGAGGACGGCGGCCAGCAGCCCCACGAGCAGCGCGGGCAGGAGCCCCGCGGGCCAGAGCCCCGCGCTCAGCCAGCCCCAGGCGCGGGGCTCGGCGGGCAGCGCGGCGGCGCCGGGCGGCCGCACCACGGGCGGGCCGCGGTCGCGGGCCATGGCCGGGCACTTGCAGCGAGAGGGGCCCCGGACCGGGGCCGCCCCCCCCGGCAGCGCCTTAAACAGCGCCCCGGCCCCGGGGAGGAGCCGCGGCGGCGGGCGGGGCCGCGCGGGGGAGAGGCGGGTCGGGATAAACTCCAAAAGTCGGGGGGAAAAGTTTAAGGGCTTCGCATGGCACCCCCTTCTCTGCCTTCTCTCCCTTTTTTTCCCCCCTTCTCTTTTCCTGACTCTCCGTAACTTAGCCGTGCTGCCACTTAAACCGATGCAAAGCTGAAGGGAGCTGACAGGTAAAAGGTGAGGACTGAATGTGTGAGGTTCTTAGCTATTTTTTGCCTGAAAGCAAGCGCTGGAGCTACAGCAACTGCAGATTGTGAAGTTTCACAGAATCACAGAATTGGCAGGGTTGGAAAGGACCTCTGGAGATCATCTAGCCCAAGGCAGGGTCACCTAGGGCGGGTTTAACTCCAGCAGTGCTGGTGGCCTTAGATGCTCTAACAGGGGTGTGCCGTGGGTGACTGATATGCTGGTACGTTTGATGCCTGTGCTGATGAAAGTCCAGGCTGGCTATCCCTGAGAAGTGCGATGAATTCAAGTACTAATTCTGTAACTCCTGCATTGTACTCTAGTGACTACAGCTGGATTCCTTTACATTGCCCTGCTCTCCTGGCTTCTGTATTATATCAGGAAGCTTTTTGGATTACCAGGACTTCAGAGTCCATTAGTGCAGAGGATATTTGATGTTCATTTTAATTTACCTTCACTTTACTACGCTTGAAGTGATAATGTCAAACTATTTCAAAATTAGAGGGTATACAGATAGATCTTACTAGGAACCTGAGGAATTTAGTAAATGCAGCTTGGGACTTTGTCTTTTGAATTGGTGATTCTGGAGTGACAACACGTAAAAATGTTTATAACACCAGAGATTAACACTAGGGAAGGAGTTGGGGGGGGCAGTTCCACTCAGTTCTGATTGCTGCCTTTTTTTAAAATCCATTCTCTTTATCTGACCAAAGGTGTTGCCATGACTGGATCTCTAAGGCCCACTGATGAGATTTTACTCACTATCTCATTAGAAAAGACAATGGCTAAGTGGATGTCCCAGTAAGTCTGTTTCCAGTGTGTGAACTTCTTAATCTTTCGGTGTCATTTAGAGCAGCGCTGCCACAGCTTATCGGGACAGCAAATGTCACTCGAATTTATAGAAGCACAAATGTGCAGCCTCCGTGGTGCGGTTCCCTGGCTGATCTGGAAGAGGGTGTCCTGTGCAGATGCACAGAGTTCTTGATCTAAATATTTTTCCTTTCTCTGCTTACCACAGTAGCTCAGGCACGGTGTCCAGAGCGCTCCCCCAGCAAAGCGCTGAGCTGGTGCGTAAGTCAAAATGTCTATTTTGGTCCCTGGACGTGTGGGATGTGTCCTGGCATGCGCTGAACGTGCACTGCTCGCATCTCCTGCTCGCTGCTGCGGGAGAGGCGAGAGCTGAGGGGCCGGGACCTGCCTGGGCACTTTCTCTGTGGCTGCGGGTTTGGGTGCGCTCTCTTTTACAAAACACTGTTGGTGCTTCAAGGTGCAACTCAGCCTTACTGCTTAAAACAGACCCTTGGCTGTAATGAGTTGTGCTAAATACTGAAACTCTGCGTAGCAGGTGGTATTTTGGCAGTTTACTTACCTTCCTTTTTTCTAGCCTTCAGAACAGAGCCAGTTGTCCCCTGCTCTGTGCCTGTGCACCACCTTGCTCAGCTGGGATTGCCAGTTGGGGCACCCACGCGCTGC